TCTAATTGAAGAAGATTGCGCAGTTGTTCTACTGGTAAGCACAAAATCTTCCACTTTTTATGGAGATCTATTAAATCCACAGTCTTCTTGTGAGACAACTATAAAAGCATATACATCATAAAGAAAATATAAGAAAAAAAATTGGAAATTAACTGTTAATTAGCTAGTTAAAAAACTAGTTGCTACCAGGCAGACAATCATGTCAAGAACAACTGTGGCCCATATGGAAATTGCCAAATAGGATGTGCGCCAGTGTAGTAGGATCAAAGGACAATTTAAGAAAATGGGGCTTCCCCACAGGAGATATTCTATGTGAACGCGGACAAGAACGATCTATCTTGCATGTACTGCGGTGCATATGAGCCATTCAACATATATGGAGGAAGACATTATTTGGCAAGAGAAAATGCTGTCAATGTGACCTGATATAGGTGAATGTCATTTAGTTTTAATCCTATTAATTTTATTTACTTTTTTAATATGTGTTATATTTCTGTGACCTATTTTATATTTATTTTACTTACTCAGCGTTGAATATTACATATCTATAATCTGAAGGTTCACGAAAAGCTAGTTCAAAGAAAAATCATTTTAGATAGTACAGTTCATTTAAAAATCTATAGTGTTATTGTAGATTTCAGCTGTTTAAAAATATTTTACCTGTTTATGCAAAACTTTAAGGAGGCCAGGGGTCAAACCAGTATCGTTTTTCTGTGTGGCAACTGGCATTTCAACACGTTCTTTCACAGGAAGAGGCTCTCCCCTTGACAAAGCATAGAAGTACCTATCATAGTGCCATACCAAATACCAAAAGACAGTTCAAGTTAAAAACATGATGTTAATGTATAAAATGTTCAAAATCAATACTACAGCTTACACTAAGTGGAAAAAAAAGTGTATTTTCGCTTACTCCCTTCAGCTAGGGTGTGACAGGGATTGATCAACTCTTACTCCTCAAACAGCTTTCTGTTTAAGAGGATATATTTCCAAATAAAATAGAATAATGCAGCTATCACCATTTCTAGGAATACCTCTCTGGGCTTAAAAGCATTTTTGAATACTCAGTATATCAGACTCCTTAAAATAATTTTAAAGATCTAAGCATATTTTAAAAGTCAGGTGGGACAGGAGGCTAGGTGGGCACCTAAACAGCTATTTGTAAACAGACTAATGATATTGGATGTCCGCGGTGATATGTGAACACTGACGTGTCATATTTTTTTGAAGTATAAGACGCACCAAGATTTTGAAGAGGTAAATTAAAAAAAAAAGTTTTTGCACTCTGCAAACCTCCCAAAAACAGCCCGTTTTTTTCAAAAACTGGGCCATTTTTTTTTTCAAAAAAGGGCATGAATAGCCTTAGGAGGTTTGTACAGTGTTCCTGGGGGAGGGAAGCAAAAATGAGCAAAAAATAGCCAATTTTTTTGTGAAAACGGGCCCGACTTTTTGTCAAAAAAAAGAGGAAACTTATAGAGTGCTCCTGGGTGCTGGGGGGGGGGGGCAAAATTGAGCAAAAAACCACCCATTTTTCACTCATTTCTGCCTTCCCCAGCCCCCAGGAGCTCTCTGAAAGCCTCCTACAAGCTATGCCCGGCCATTTTGGTGGGGCGGGGTTTCAAGAGGCAAAAAAATGCTATATTCAGTGTATAAGACGCACCCAGATTTTCAGCCTCTTTTTTGAGGGAAAAAGGTGTGTCTTATACTCCAAAAATACGGTAATTACTCTGAGCACAGATATACTTCTGTGTGTGTGTGTGTGTGTGTGTGTGTGTGTGTGTGTGTGTGTGTGTGTGTATGTGAAGTTTTCTTAATCAAGACACTTTACTTTGATTTTCTATTTACCCATAGGACCATTGGAGAACATCACGTGGTTGGGTCCTGATAGCTGCTTTGGTAAATTGTTTCATAATATCTGGCAGTTCAGGTGGAACATGAATCTGCTGTGCACAGAACATAACATCTGGAACAGGCATGGTTATTCAAGGCCCCAAACTACAATCCTATGAAAACTAAAAAGAAAGTGTTCATTAATTAATGTATTCTAAAAAAAAACCTTGAGATGTATAAAGGCATAATATATGTCAATATCATTCTTTATCACATTTATCACATCACTTTATCACTTCACTTTTCTCTTAATGGGTTCAAAGGAGTACATATATAAGACTATCACGTTATCTTCACAGGAATTTAGTAATACCTCATAACTTTGGTAGACTAAGAAATTATTTTTCTCAAGGTGCCCCAATAAGCTTATAAGGCTAATAAAATTTACTTAATACACCACCTTTTATTAAGCATTAACAAGCTGGAAATCCTTTTTCATATTATAACAGCTTACTTTGAAAACATACAAGCATAGGCAACACCTATTTATGATTAAAATATGGTTTACATCTAAACATAATTCAAAAAAGTATTTTGATGATAAATTTGGTAGCCAACAAATAGTGATAGCAAAAACAATGCTAACTCATTTTCTCGTACAAAATTAACAATTAGGCTACATCCAAATTATGAAAGTAAACATTAGCTTGCATCGAGGTATTGTTCCCTCACTTTTAGTCATTTGCACATATTCCAAATATTTTCTAGAGCAATCTTTCCAACTTTCAGATTATGGGAGGGGAAAAAGAAATACAATCCACTATAAGTAGGTGATATATGCTTTGGTGGATTAGAATATCACTTCATAATTTGAGAGTGGACTCTCACATGTACTTGTTGCTCTGCCACAAATCATGTGTTTTAATTCCTTTAGTCTATCTTCCCATACCTGGCACTGATTACTCTCTTCTTGTTAAAAAATCAGGATTCTGGTAGCACTTGTCAAGACTAACAAATTGTATTAAAAGGCATAAGGTTTTGTCTGGCTCACTTTATTAGAAACAACTTATTCCTGCTAAGAGCTATAAGATCTCACTTCACTGTTGCTTAAATCATCAACCTGAGATCATTCATTAGTAAGATAGGATTGCCATAGATCAGTAAATATCTCCACCACTAAGCTACGCTGTTTTTTTGGTCATTTTTTGTGATCTTTTCTGAAGCAACTAGCAGTTACAGTATTGTGTAGAGTACTCAAAAAATCTGCATGTTTATCTCCGTTCCATGTAAGTCAAACTCTCTCCTATTTTTCCATAGCACTATAAAATGTACCTTGAAAATAAATAAAACAATTACTTCAATGATGTCTGACAAATCATGAAATCAGAATCCTTATATTAGAATAAACAAAAGTTAGGTTCTGCATATTAATCAAATAATTCTCAGGCATTTAGCAAGAAATATATTGTTCTTAACAATACAATTTTCCAGGAATAATATCCAAAGCTAGAAACTAACATTTTTCTCTTCTGATGGGTCCTTGGTGTTCTCTGAGCTTCACTGTTTTCTTGCAAACCTTTCTTGCATTAGCACTGATGATGTTACCTAGTTTGGATAATGAAATGTCTGCAAGAAAACAATGGTGCTCAGAAAACACCACAGGACTCCTCAAGTACAAATCTCTTTTATTGATTTTTCTCTTCCAATATACAATCCAAGTATATACTATACTACAATGTGTTTACATACTATTAGTTTAATGCAAAAGTGCAGAACGTAACACTCAGCAGAATAGATTGCAATATACAAGGTACTAAAATTACAATTAGTGTTCATAGCAGCTTTCCACGTCATCTTTGCCTACAATGTATGGTTAGAAAATACACTTTCTCTAAGGTGCATGGAATGAGATTGATAGTCTAACATAGTGGTTCTCCAATATTTTGGTCTTAACAATGTTTGAGGATTCCAAGCAGCTGAGGTGGCGCAGTGGTTAAATGCAGCACTGCAGGCTACTTCAGCTGACTGCAGTTCTGCAGTTCGGCTG